TGAGCCATCAGCCCAGAGCCTGACGCGGGGCTCGAACTCACGGACCGCGAGATCGTGACCTGAGCTGAAGTCGGACGCTTAACTGACTGCGCCACCCAGGCGCCCCTCACCTCTTTTTAAATTATGGACGCGCTCCGGGGACTCAGAATCCAGAGGGCTTTCCTGTGTTATGGGGCTGTGGGGACACCGTGCGATACTGGGTATTACGCTTCCTTCTCTCCGTTCACAGCCAACACCATCCTCTCAGCTGCTCCGACCAAAACCGTGCGGTCATCCTTGACTTCTTCCCGCGCCTCGCATGCCACATTCATCCCATCTGGAAAGCCCACCGGTTCGACCTTCAGAAGGTATCCAGAACCTGAGCAGACCCCCTCTCCCCACCCCCACCGCATCACCTGTCACGCGGCTCAGGGAGAGGCTCTCCCTCCAGGTGTCCTCTTTCAGCCCATGCCCCTCTGCAGTCTGGCCTCAGCACCTGGCCAGAGCGACCCCGTTCCTTGGAGGCCCCCTTGCTTGCAAAGCCAAACGCGAAGTCCCGGGAGGGGCCCTAGCAACATCCAGAAGCTACCATGTGCCCAGCTGAGGTTGTATGGTGACACGAACGTGTCCTGTGTGCCCTTGCCCAGAAGTGTGTGGGTGTCAGGTGATGTATTCATTTCCTATTACTGCTTTATCAAACGATCAGAGCATCATAGCTTAAAACAACAGAAACGTATCCTGTCTCAACTCTGGAGGTCTGAAGTCCGAAGTCAACATTGCTGGGCCAAACCCCAAGACTCTAGGGGAGAATCCATTCCTTGCCTCTTCCAGCTTCTGGTGGCTGCCTGGCATTCTTTGGCTTGTGGCTCCATAAATCTAATCTTGTCTCCATGGTCACATTGCCTCCCGTTCTGGGTGTGTCTAATCTCCCACTGCCTCTCTCTTGTGAGGACACTTGTCATGGCACTCAGGGCTCACCCAGATGAGCCAGGAAAATCTTCATTTCAGGGTCCTTAACTTAATCACAGTGTGGTCCAATGAGATGCAAAGAGACCGCCTTGTTGGGCCTTCTTGCAAAGACTATGTGTTTTCCCCCGGAAAACAGTAACGAGCAAAGTTTCGTGATCAAGAAGTTCTGAAGCTGAAGATTAAAGCACAGAGGAAGGAAAGGCCTGAAGAAGCAGAGAGAAATGGGGCCAGCACCCTCATGACCTTTATGAGCTCCTGGATCACACAGAGCCTGAAGCCCTTCTCGTCCACCTCTGGGCTTTTCAGTTATGAGACCCAGTAATTTCCTCTTTCTTTTAAGCCAGTTTGAACTGGATGTTCTGTCACTTACACCAAAAAGAGTTCTCATTCATATTCTCTTTAAACCTCAAATTCTTACCTAAAAATAGGTTAAATATCTTACAGAATTATGATAAAATTTAATTTTTTAATGCTCATTATTTATTTTTGAGAGAGAGAGAGAGAGCAGAGGAGGGGCAGAGAGAGAGGGAGGCACAGAATCCAAAGCAGGCTTCAGGCTCCGAGCTGTCAGCACAGAGCCCGACGCGGGGCTCAAACTCACAAACTGCGAGATCAGGACCTGAGCCAAAGCCAGATGGATGCTCAACTGATGGGGCTACCCAGGCACTCCCAGAATTCTGATAAAATTTAAATGAAATGACATGTATAACACATATATGTTAATTCCTGGCACATAAAAATTCTCCTTGTGAATGATGGCTGTTAATATTTAACAATTGGCCATCACAGGATAAGAACTAGATCTTATATCAAGCTGGTATGTTTGGGTTATAGTTACTAAAATCTGGGATCTGGGGCGGAATCTGGGAGACATGGGAGCAGAGCTGACACGTTCCCTGTGGCTGACCGTTTACCTAATGGCGTGTTCACTAATTGTCAAGTGTCTTGGGGGGCTGCAGGGGGGGTCTTGTTCTCATCAGGAGCTCATGGTTTCTCTTGTCAAGGTAAGTTCAGCATCTATTAGTCAGGCACCTTCGATATTCCCAGAGCAGGGCTGGGGACTGGAGATCCAACAGGAGGGAGAACCGTGAGTTCAGGCTGCAGCAGGACTCACAGTCTGATGGAGGAGGCGCAGGCGAATCGATAGTCACATGAAGGTGGAGTGCAGGCTGGGGTGCTGGGTGGGGTGAGATGGTGGAGGATCCAGGGCAATCTGGGAGGGCTTCTGGGAGGCGGCGATGTTGGCACTGAGACCTGATAGACACACAGGAGCTTATGAAATAAAGAGCATTTTTTTTTTAATTTTTTTTTTCAACGTTTATTTATTTTTGGGATAGAGACAGAGCATGAACGGGGGAGGGGCAGAGAGAGAGGGAGACACAGAATCGGAAACAGGCTCCAGGCTCTGAGCCATCAGCCCAGAGCCCGACGCGGGGCTCGAACTCACGGACCGC